TACGGGGTTTCATGTGGTGTAAAATTCATTATTAAGTCTTTTTGAAAATATGGTAGTACCCCCCTATCAAAACATTTTTTCCAACCCTGTATATCGTTAATTTGTATTGTAGAAAAGTGAAAGAAAAAAGAATGGTCAGTGTGAAACAATGTGTTTACCAAACTGTACATTTGTTTATTCGACTATTACCTTGACCAGGTTTACATCCAAATACTCGATCAAACTCAATAAAGTTTGATGTTGTCCCAATCACCCTAAAATTTTAGAGACATAGTGATTTATATTAATAGACTCAAAAAAGAAAGCATGTTTCACCTAAACATAGCTGGAGCATGAGCCTCCGTTTCCATTAAAATTGCTTGAAATGAATCTCGTACTTTCGAACACCACATATATCCAAAGTTTATAAAGAACAGTTGTTCCGCTGAATACTTTTGTAGACCAGGTAATTTCTTATCAATATTCGGATTTACTTGCGCCCATTTTTTATACGCCTAACATTAATAAACTTATCATATGAGAACTTCATTAATGAACATTCTTACATAAAAAGACGCTTTCAAACCACCATTATCAGCAATATTTTCAGCTTGTGTCAATATACCGTCAACCTAAATAAACAGCAATTATTTAATAGTAATAAAAGAGGATAAAAAAGAGACCTGAATGTTAACTTGTGCCATAGTATAATTACTATATTGATCGATGATACACTGTTTCTTTTGTTCAAATGCGACACTAGTTTCATTAGTCCACCAAGAAACTATATTGCCATTTTCATCATAGGATCGACCCCTGCTGTCGAAACCATGTGTCATTTCATGTGCCATAATCATTCCAATCCCTAGGATTGTTATTTAACGATTACAGCTGTTTCAGTAATAGAAAATTCTACTTACCACCAAAGTTGAGGTACCTAAAAAGAAATAGATAAGTTTGTATTTTAAGATCATGTTTTTGATAGTCAAGGTGAATTCTTCGGACTTATATATATAAGTTAGGTAGATAAAGATTTGTATGGAGAAATACTAACCTAGGTGCTTCAACATGAAACATAGGTGTCTGGAGGAAACCCGCTGGAAAGACTAAAGACAAAAGAATACTCATGATATAGTATTACGAAAAGCATCAATCAATAGCTGACTGATGGAGTTGTGAGGTGGAATATAGAAGGCATTCACTGTTGTTGGTGGATAATCCCATGTTGTGCGAAGAGAAAGCTGGCGAAGTTTTTGTAGATTTTGTGTACCAATAAGTCGACGCACAAGGAGAGAATTGTACATGTATGATAAATTAAATCTATACTAGAATAATATTTGAAGTAGAAATTTTATTAATATAGCAATTAGAATGCTCATCATTTTCTCAAATTTCTTACATTTATATATTGATTTTCTAATTCTGTTACATTAACTGAGCCGACATATTCAGGATATCCAATACTCACAAGAATTGCTTGTGCCTAAATAGTTAAATGTCTCTGTTTCTATAAGATACGTTTTTTAATGTATTATTTACCTTTTTCACGGCTCTGTTTTTTGAAACAGTATCCATCCATGAAGCTTGACCTATCATATCGATAAATTCATTTCGAACTGTTTGATATTGTTCTAGCAACTATAAAGTAATAGACTAGAGTTACATCTACTATCAAATAATGTATTCTACCTGATTTCGTGTTTGCTCACTGAAATACTTCTCAATGTAAAGTCTTGAGATAGCAAAACCCATTACATTATTAACAGAAGTGCTACATTCGATACTTCGCAGTTGTTTAGTAGATGTTCCTAACATTAGATCATTTAACTTTTGCTTTATCACTTGAAATCGTTTTGGCATATAATCAATCATTTCGAATACAAAACACCAAACAAGATAGTTTTGTACTACACGTGGAGAGGATTGATTAATGATCATTGATACATTATGTAGATAATCAATTTGATTAACACTGACCCTATCTGTTTCGGTTAGATTCAAACCAACTGATTGATATAACCGACGGATGTAACCAGAGAAATCAAACTATATTATGATCAAGACTTTCAAAATAATTTGATCGAAACTGAAAAATTCTTTTGATTACTAACGCTGGAATTGACTACTTTTGTCACATTATCTATTGATATTTGAAAGTTTTCAGCGGCTCGATTAATAAGATCTGTTGGTGTCCAGACATACTATGAATATAAAGTGAATACATTACATGATTATATACAAGTATTGACTTACTTGAGCAATATTTTTCTCTAACGCAAACATGTCAGCAATGTCAGTATCGATATCCAATGTAATATTAGTTAATTCAAGCACTATATCACGTATTACTTCACGATATAGAATTGTGATACTATTTTCAGCAGCGTATACTTCTTTTGTTCGCAGATTTAACTGACTTTGACCAATCTTTTGCACAATAAATTTAGAATAACTTAACAGATAAAGATTTACTTACGAAAATGCTGTATAAAGATGAATTGGTTGCATCGACTGTTGTTGCTGTTGTGTATAGTGGATAAAGACTGTAGAGAGTTAAACGTAATAATTGATTTTCTAGACTGTAATTGAGAGTACTCCAATTTGATCCTTTTATAATTGGCCATCCGCCAAGTTCCGTATCGATAAATGAAAGGATAGTTTTCAAACTATCTGTCTCGATGGCATCTTCGTTTATACACGAAGCATAGAGAATCCGAGCATTTGAAATCGATTGTAGTTCATTATTGTTCGTCGACGAAGTGGTCAACAGATCTGTAATTAATCTGATTTTAAATAGAAATGTCTCGAATTAATCACCTACCAATAATACGTTGATTCAACTCGTTAGCCAAACTTGTCAAAACACTGGCATCCAACTCTAGTAGACCAAAACTATATAGATTAATTCTGCAAAGTTCCTAAGAATATTACCATCATCTGGTATGACCGATTTATTCATCCATTTACCACATGTAAAGTTATAGAAATTTTCACATGGATCAACAGACTCATCAATGCTTTGTAGAAGATAATTCGCTAAAGACAGTTGTGTACATACAATCGATTGTATATAATAAAAATTAGTTACCTGCATTGATACAGTATGGAGTTAAACAAAAGCTAGTATTGTTATCTGAAGAAAAAGAAAAGCTTTGAAAATAAAAGATCATATTAATATTACCGAGTTTTATTGATTCTTTGATATCGTTTCTCTCAATGCCATATAAGACTGCTAAAGTAATTGTAGTTATGAATAACACACAAGAGACAGCTCCAAGTAGTAGAGTGAGGATAGTCCAAGTAGATGAGCTCCTATGAAAGTATTATTCAGAATAAGAAATCTCTTATTAACATTATTATTCTTACCATGTAGAAAACATGCTGTGTATAATTATACGCTTCTATTCGATTGAAGTAAAAACGAAATAGGTATTTATATTACTTTACAAAATTTCGTTGTTTGATACCGTTGTTTTTTTCTCTTTAACTATAATTACGCATCCATCATTTAATCACGATGTTTCATTATTTTTTTTTTGACTGTATGCACTCATATACATTTCTATCGATTGCTTGAAACATATTTATAATATAATAATGATGAAAAATGAGTAAAACGCTTGTCGATAATGACATATTTGATATTATAATTTTTGTTACATTTAAAATACCATGTTGTCATAACACAGGGATAAATGCAAAAGTCACTTAACTCGAAGAAAGTTCATTCAGAACAAATGTAATAAACTATGTGAACTTATGTAAAACAGGTGCCTTATATTCATATATATTTTCTCTTCCTATTGTTCTCCCTCTGCTCTACTATATATAGTCCACGTAGCACTTTTTAATAGAAAACGCCACTGATATCAAGAAATACACAAGTAGTAAATGAAGCTTTTCAAGCTGAATTTTCCGAAACAAAAATTCCAGCACAACAAACAATTTACTAAAAAACATGGAACATGATCCTGAAGTCTTTCTTCTCAATGCACAAAAATATAAGTGACGTGCATCAATTAATCTTGGAATCTCCCGTAGATGCTTATGCCGGACGGTCTAACTCTGTTGGAGTGATAGAAATCCATGCGTCGATATTAAAACAAGAACTCAGTATACCACAGGTGATTGTTCGGGAAGAAATATGGTCAAACGGCGTCGTTGGATCATATTTTTCTGAAGGTAACGTTATATCACAAAAGTATTTTCAGATCTTGAAAGATAATATGATGCTATTTTTCACAATAGAGAGAGGAACTAAGCGTAAATGTTTCATTGATGAGGTCCTTAGTAATACTTAACAAAGAGTTCTTTAGGCATGTCTCTATCATCGTTTAAAAAAGTCAACTCATTTACTTGAGCTGTTAAGGAGATATTCAATTTGTTTTTGAGTCAAGTGACTTTTGTACTCTCTTGTAGAGTTTTCCGTTACGAACGCTAGGTTTTGATTGGAAAAAGTCTTATTTAAAGAAACAAAAATGAGAAATCGTAGTTTTCGTACGCACAGTTAGTATACGTACTGTGTATACGCATCGTTCGAAAAGCACGAAATAGTACAAGGCTATTTCCTTTGTCACAAAAACGTGCGTATAAATAAAGCAGCTAAAGGTGTATCATTATATCAAGCTAAAATCAGATCAATAAACTATATATTCACTTGTGTAATAAGTAAGATTTATTTTAAACTTTTTGATATTTGTCTTTTGTTATGTGTGACAGGATTTTTTTTCAAAATATTATTTCTCCGAAACTTGGATCGAGTTTTAGTTTAAAGGAAAGCTAACCCAACGAGATAACTTAATGTGAGAGGGAAATGAAGCATTCATTCAGATATTCTGGGAAACGAAAATAATAATCTTTAAATTAAATTTTCTAAACAAAACTAAGAAACAGAAACAATAATTTAGTTTATTACTCGCAATAATAATCATTTATAAGCCTAGAAACCACAAGATGTTTTTTGTAAGTGTTTGTTCGAAATATGGAAATTCTTTTTTTGAAGATCGGTACGATAGGAAAACTTCAAATGAAAGATTCTACGGGTATAGATGTCTCAAACTAAAAAAGAATCACATCATTTCTGATGTTTGCTTTCGTCCTAATGAGAAACAGAAGGTCTGCTGATCTTGTGTAGCCATTTGATTACTATCTGTGATATTTGATGGATTTTCCAGTATTCAAAGATGAAATATTGTAAAAGATATAGGTCGATCTCTTTACATGGTTTGGATAGTTCGATTAGTGAAAGTTAAACTAAGGTCGTAGTTTCGAAACAGCAATAAGTTCAATGTTGTTACTTGTGATAAGGAATATTCTGTCTTGTTTCATGTAAAACTGACAAGTTGCCATTATTTAGGACCATTGCAAAAACGAATCATTTGACTTCCTTAAAAAGTTATCCTCTGGTCCTGTTTATGATAATCTTCTATTTCATTGTTCACGCACAAAGTTCTGAAGATGTTGCCGACGAGCCTGCCGCTATTGAGAAACTTCCTCGAGCGATCGTACCGAGTAAAACTGTGGCTACATTTTTAAAATTAAACTTTCTCCAGAATTTGATCGTTGATTCTAATGGTGATGGTATCGCCAATAGTGCTTCAGACGGTCGCATCTGGCGCGTTTCTCGTAACGGCTCTACTGAAGTCTTAGGACAGTTTCCAGAAAATGGCATCATCGTTATTGGAATAAAACTCGATAGTGCGATCGCTGCGTGAGGGGTGAGACAATCTGCCATGACCGGTTTCGTCCCTATGAAAGGACTAATCATGTGGCTTAAATCAAAGACTAATTTCGAAACGTCTTGAAATCGAAGGCAAAGCTTTTATCAATATGATATCAAGGTCATGTATTGAAGTCTTTTTGTTCGGTAATATGCTTGTGTATGGAATACGTATTTTGGTTGAGTACTGTATGATAGTTGTGCGTTTGCATGATCTTATATTGATTAGGTTTGGGACTTTATGGTGGTATCTTGCCTTCTTTTTGTGACAGTTTTTTGTATACGATTTTAATAGTCTGTTTTTTGTTGAGTATGTTTTTGAATCGAATGAAGAGAAATAGGTCTATGTTGCTTGTTTTGATGCTGTGGGTATAATATCATATAGAATCTAGAAATGAAACGAAGGATTATAACAAACTGTTTTTAGTGAGAATGAGCCACACGGTTTTTATTTTGAAGAAAGGAGGGAAAGTCAACTTGTTCGATTTGGTTGAAAGCATTATAAATGTGGAGGAAACAATAGAAAAATGTTTGAAAAGATAAGAACAGTTTCTTTTGGCTAGAAGTTTGATGGTGCGTTTGAAGGGGACGATTGACGCATATGATCAACCATTTACTTTTATATAGCTGTTCTGTATTGTTTGATACAATTTGCCCGTGTAATCATGTGTAATCGACGGTTCTCTATGGCATTGCTAACTGATTTTTGCCATATTGCCCTCGTTTCCATAAATCTGTTCTGGACTGAAAACTTCTGTTGTTCAATGTGTATTGTATTTTTCGAATTTTCTATTTTCCTACGACTGGTGACAATGGCTTGTTGAATAAAAGAAATCTTCAATGTGCTTAATTTATAGAGCTCATTTGTTGAAGGCCGAGTAGTTGTGGAGGATCGAATAGCTTCTGTCAATATTTCTATATTCTTATCAATATCATTGATTATTTCATGAACTAAGTTAAATGATGATTGTAATGACGTAGATCTAAGACGTTTCTCTAGCATAGCAATATCTTCTTCTATCATCAGATGTTCTTTCGTTTCTTTCCATATGTTTCTTGCCCAAGTGATCATTAATTAATAAAAGTCAAAATGACATTCAATATAATGTATATTATATCAAAACATGCTCATTTACATGATTCTTGTTTGGTTTGAGATCGAAGAATTTTTAAATTAATTGATGATCGACTGCATCCAAAATAAACATATTTCTTTTATATTCTAAATCATGTTCTAATGAATGTTGTTTCTTGCGTACTAGCTGATAAATAATTGAAGATAATTCATTCAGTGTACAAATACAATCTGTATTATTTTCACATTGAGATAAAATTCCTTGTTCAAACTGTTCGATTGTAGTTTTTGCTTGTTTTAAATGACTTTTAATTTGCTTTAATCGTTCTTCAATAAGAGTTTTGCATCTGCCATATGAAGGAGAAACAGAATGCTTCTTTGCGAAGACTTTGAATACAGGGTTGGAAAAAATGTTTTGATAGGGGGGTACTACCATATTTTCAAAAAGACTTAATAATGAATTTTACACCACATGAAACCCCGT